TTTAGTTTATGGTACATCTTGGACACCTATATGTATCTATAATGATTCTTCTTTAATATTCCCTTCTACCACCGTGTTACCAAAAATTCAGTGGCACAGGAAAGCAAAAACCTGCTTTCCCTTATAGCTTTATAGGACCCAAATATTGGACTTGCTTTGTAATCCTGGGTAAGCCACTTAGCCTTTGTGCTTAGTTTTTTTCTTCCTTCATTAACTGTTGATTCATTGTCTTGCACTGGGGCAGGAATGCTGTGGATTCAGCATATGAACAGTGCCCTGTGGTGACTGGGGTCATCTAAGGACCAGCTGTGGAAAATTTGGCTGCACTCCCCACTTTCCTCCTTGTCACTGAGCTGTGGAAAGAAAAAAAATACCTGAAACCCAAAGTTGTCATGTGCACACGGTGGTCATGGTCACATACTGCCTGTTGATAGCATTTTAGCCATGACTTTACCTCTTTGATACTGCTTACCTCTACGACAATAAGCTTTCTGAGACAATAAATTGGAAACCGTGACCCTGTAACACTACCTTGAAAGTAGTATCTTCCCTTTCCAGGAAAAGCACCTTGGGCCTGTTCTTGTCTTTGTTGAAATTTGCAGTTTCTTCAAGTTCTGTGTTCCAGTTTTGCATTCTTCAACTTCGAGGCTTTGAAACTATTTTGATGCTTGAGTTTCACATGTAATTATCAGTCTCCAGGAACTGAGTCTTAAAATAAAGTGCCAGCTGTCACAAGCATCAGAACCAAATTGGAGGAGCTGACAATCTATGAGCACAGGCAGGTGACGTGACTTACCCAAGGCCATATGGCAAGCTGAGCCAGGATTAAAATTCAGGTCTTATGATTTCCCCAAAGAATGCCATGCCCATGGGATCCGGGTGACTTTCTGTCCCAGCTTTGCACAGGACAAACTTCAGTTTATGCATCAGGTGGTTAAAATATGCATGCAGGACTGGTGTGAGTTACTTCTGTGTAGAAATACAAGGCCTGATGTTAGCTGTCTTTACTGGCAGTCGAATTTCCCATTCTGTGTCTGAGAAGATCCGTGTTTGCTTTCTAGGCTCTGGGAAGGTTGTCTGGCTGGAGCAGGTGAATTTTTGCTTGCAGGGCCCCAGCATACACTGTGGTAGGAGATATCTGGTCTGATTCCACAGGTCCTGAAGACTGGCTTTCTCTCGAGCTCTGTATCAGGTTGTTCAGATGTTGGACGCTGCCCAAAGCTGGACTGTGCAATATCAGAGTTGACCTTGAGCACAGGCAGCCAAACCCCTGGGGTGGGGGAAAAGGGGGCTGCAGAACCACAGGTACCCAGGCTGGCCAGGGCGATTGGCATCTGTTGGTGCCCCCATGTCACTGGCACTTCCATCTTCCTGGTAGATCTCCCAGGCCCTGGGAGAGGAGTTTTTGGTCTCTGTCATGGTTCCCAGATGTGAAGGTGGCAGGAAACACTTGATTGAGCAGAAGCTGGGACTCCGTCTCTTGTGGAGCGGGCGCTGGTCAAACCGTGTACCCAGAAAACTGGAATAGTCCCGTGAAGCTTTGTCAGCACCCACTGATTGCAGCAGGCACCCCATTTCTATCAGCACTTTCATGTGAACGGTGTTTTCATATGGATTCAAAGGGAGGTTGGACAAGTGTCTTGGAAGACGAGGGAGGAGCCACATGAAATTGCCCCAGGCTGACAGTGGCTAGAAGCTCACAGATCTCTTTGAGGGAAGCCTTTTCTGTGCTTGCTCTGCTGTTACTCTTCCCTCACCAGCCATTTATGTCCACTGTTGAGGGCAAGATTCTGGGCTAGATGAACTCTGCTGCGTCCCATTGCGGATATTCTTATGATGGAAATCAACAGCCCAAGATAAAGAGATTGTCCTGACTCCAGGCTATGTGAGGAGATTCATTCTTAACTGGTGCAGATTCAATGACTACCTTGTCCTGCCAGAAGACACCTGGAAAAATTAATCCTGTCAGGAAATTTTGGTAACAACCAAAAGTTTGCAGTGATGATCTGTAACTGGGGATGGTATGACAGCACTTGTTAGACCGAGGTCTGCTTTGTGCCTCACCTCCATTGTTACCATGCAATGCCCTTACAAACAGGGCTGGAGATGAGCTTCTCAGTCAAAGGGCTCTGGGAGAGAAGTCCATCAGAGCTGCAGTGTATTTCGCTTACTGGGTCATTCTCTTATTTGCAGCTTTATTCCTCTAAAAGTGCTGTCTTGCCATTGGAAGAGCCACATCTGGCTTGAAGAGACTTGAAGCAGCTTGAACAAGAGACTCTGCACTCTGAACACTAAATTAATGGGCTTGGTCTTTTACATGTGAGTGAAATCCTTTCAGATTCTTGTCCATGTCAGGCCCCCAGCTCCTCTAATTAAGAGGCTTTTAGCTCAGCCAATGTTTGAGAGCTATAGTACAGCTGCGCTTTTGCTAAAATGAGGAGATGCTAGAGGTAGGGATGTGATGGGTCCAATTTCAGCTTGCAAATATGTCTCAGAAAGAGAACAGAATGTGCTCCTTGTACAACCTTTTGTTTGCTGCAGCAGAGCTGGGAGACATCGTCTGCATGGACTGCTCTAGCTTTTGAAATAGAAATGATGAAGCTGAGAATAAGAAAGTAAGATCTTTACTTCTGGGGACCTCAGAGTCTCTTAGGCAGCTAGAGGGATGTTTCAGAAAACATATTTCTTACCTGTGCTTTTTCTTATTCTGTTTTCTGCAATCCTGGGTGGCTCTTGCTTTGAACTCCCGTTCCGTTTCCTCCCCTGCAGCCGCCTGCACTCACCGTCTGGTACCGGGTGCAGCTTCTGCTGAGACTGTGGCTTCGTGGAAGGAATGAGTCTGGCAAAAAGCTTCAGCAAGGTGGCCTGTAGCAGCCAGTAATTGTCATTCATCAGCATGGCTATGTGATTCCTCACTGTAATCACCTATAAAATCTATGCAGCATAAGATATTTGGGTATTTTTTTTTTTTAATTTATTAATGTCAAGGCCAGCTTCGCAACTTTCACTTGAATGTGAAAAGTAAGCTGGGGTTCTTTCCAACTTCTGTGCTACTACCACGTACAGACTTGCCATCAGAAGCAAGCTGACTGTCCAGCTAATGGATAGAATCAAGCTTTGGACTCCTAATTTTTCTGTGTTTGTTCCATAATGAAAAAAAAAAAAATTCTTGGTATGAGAGTTTATTTGAAAAAGAGCAAGAGAGAAAGATACTTCTTGCTTTTCATGCTTTTTTGCCTCCTTTCCTCTGCAGTATGCCCAAAAGCTTGGGTCCAGCTCTGTGCCCACTGTTTGCCAGGGATGTCTACTTGACTAGCAACATATAACAGTACCCGTTTATAGGTAGTCTTCTGCAGAGTTTCAAATAAATATCTTCTCAAGTGACACTAAACAGAGGTGCCCTGAAAAAACACTGATTTGAAAGGGGGAGCGAAGCGTTCTGGTTGCTCTTTGAAGCAGAACCACCCTCTGGCTCACGAACCAGCAGCAATAAACGGAGTCAGATAGTATGGTACATAATTGCCTTCTTTTATGTCAGCTTCATATAGTTCTCGCATGTGACATTCTTCCTGGCCATCATGCTTTTTATCCTCCCATTGTACTAAGAGTGCAAACAGAATTAACTTGTTTGTTATCATGGCATCTGTATGTGGCTTTTAATTTCTTGAAGATTAAAAAAAACACCAACCCTCAAGCCCTCTTTGTCTAGCACTGTTTAAATCTGCTCTCAGCCTGCTTGCACAGCTCACTTCTGCCCTGCAATGCAGAACACAGATCTGCAGAAGAAGTCTAAAGCAATCAGTGCAACAAGGCTTAAAAGATGTGGTGGTGTTGCTGAAGAAAAGCTGTGTGGAGGGTGCTACGTGGCATCAGTAAGTCGGAAGGGGGGTTGGGGTAGGGGTGTGTTGTACACATCTTTACAATCACAGTGCTGTGCTTATAGGGGTGCTCTCATTTCTAGCCTTTTTGGTTTATGTACTTGTAAGTAGTGGGAATTATTTTCTTTGGCCTCTGAAATGTCTCCATAGTTGTGTGGTTTCCTTCCTATAAAGGTGAACACTTCAGATTAAAATTCTGTTTGGCAGTTTATGAGGTCTCAAAACAGGGACTGGAAGGCAAGGGGGGCAGGAGTACCCAGCTTATGAAATTTTTCCCAGTGTAGGAACTGTCTGACCTTTCTTTGTGCTGTAATAACATGAAAGAAGATAGAGTTACTATTTGGAAAGCAGTAACAAGAAAATGTCAGAGGTGGAAGGCCAGCTAGGGGACCTGGGCGGGAGAGGCTGGGAGAGACATTCCTTCTTCTCTTTCCTCGATCACTTGCACAGATCTTCCTCCTATCCCACTCTGGGTTCTTGCAGTCGTGATGCAGGTTTGGTGTTCAGAGGTGGCACAGAAAAGCAACAGGGGGAGGAAAAGCATGTGTTATTACCAGAGGAACCAAGACCAGAGAGAAGCATCCTGGTCAGGGCATCCAGGGAGCTGTGTGAGAGCTGGGAGTTGGCCCTGCTCGCAGTGTTTGGGCCTCCGGTCTCAGCTAATGTGGGACAATCACCCTCCTGCTCCCATGCAGATTTACCTGCATGCTTTAATATTCCCTTCCCAACATCTTGTCTCCACTGAAACCTTCCCTTGGGACCTGGCTTCCACCAGCAGAGAACTCTTGACTGCCCTGGAGGTCTGCGTCAGAGGAGGAGAGATGCTCAGTGCAGGGTCTGGAGCCCATCACCACGTGGAGGGTTACAGCTGTGTGGTAGGCTTGGTTACACCCATGTGTGTACAGTGTGTACCTCTGAGGCAAACTCCCTCCCTTCCTCCCCTGCCCTCAGTAACAGATCGTAGAATAGTTTGGGTTGGAAGGGACCTTTAAAGGTCATCTAGTCCAGATACAGATACTGAATATTGTTCTTTCAAACCAACAAGGCGTGTAAGTAGATGTTGTGTGGGGTGGAAGTGGAGAGTCATGTTTGACTGAAGTTTCTCTGTTTCCTGTCCCACAGCTCTTCCATTCGCCCCTGCCCAGGGGGAAAAGACTTTGAGAAGATGGAGAACCAGAGCCGAGCACTCTCGGGATATGTCCGCTGGGGAGGAGCAGAGGAAGGGGGTGAGGAGGATGGTGTGGCTCCCGGTGCTTCTCCTCACAGCCAAATGGACAAACTGGAAGATGTGCAGGTGGAGATGCTTGAGAAGGCGAGGGAGCTCTTCCAGCTGTGTGACAAGGACCAGAAGGGTTTTATTACAAAGGTGGACATGCAGGTGAGGGAAAAAATCCTTCCCCTTTCCTGGGAAGAGCTGTAAAGTCATGGGTGGCAGAAGAGGCGAGAACGTGGCATGTCTTTACTTTTGGCAGGTGTGGGTCTGCACATAGGCTCTGTCTCATTCAGATTTCTGGGAGCCAAACTCTGCCACAGCCAGCTGCTGGGAACTGAAAATCCCAGGAGGGCCTTGAACCTCCAGGGAATTCCTGGGACAAGTGGGACTGCAATTCCAAACCTTTAAGGAATGCATAAAAAGAAAAAAATTTGCAACAGTTCCTACAAACATTAAGCATGCAGTGGATGAGAAAGCTAGGGGGAAAAAATTTTTGGTTTAATTTAAAAAAAAAAAAAAAAAAACAAAATAATCCAAAGTTCCCTTTCTGAAGTCTTGGTTGAATCATCCAGTAGTGGAGAGTGTCGCCATATCAGTGGGTCCCAACAGGTATTTGTGTCACCACTCAGCTGTACTGGCAGACTGTCACATCCTGGCCAGGATGCAGTGCTGAAAGGCATGACTGTGGGCCCAAGCTGAGGATGGCAGGGACAGGAGCTAGTCACAGGGAAGACCTGAGTCATGCTTTAATTTTGTTTGTTCTTTTGTATTTGCAGCGGCTCCAGAGTGAACTGCCCCTAACCCATGAGCAGCTGGACACTGTTTTTGACAGCTTAGAACAGAACAATAATGGATACCTGACACCTGTGGAGTTCAGCATGGGACTAGGTAAGGACTTGAACAGAGGCAGAGGAAGGAAAAAGCCCACCTGTGATGTTTTATGTTGGTAAGAAAGTGCAGTGGTTCTGCTGAAGCTGTACCAGCCATGCAAGGCAATGCCCCATGCTTATGTGAGTATCACTGGAGAAGGTGTGTGTGCAATACTCCCGTCGCCCTTCCGGAGGCTTTGTGTTGCCTTCTTCCACAGCTGTTACCTGCCTACCTCGTAGAGCCAGCTTCTGAACATCTCCTGCTGGAGATGGCACGTGCTGCAGCCTGTATCTGGCTATGTGAGCCCCAGTTGTTCATCTGGAGAAGGATCCTTGTTGGATAAGGGGACAGAAATATGCCTCTTGGCAACTCTCTCCAGCTGGTAATAATGCTGTTGAAGGATATTAGCAGGAGTCCTGTTAGTAGGTCAGCACACTAGCAAGTGAGCTTTTGTTTTCTTCTTACTGTTGTCTTTTCCAAACACTAGGATAATACTAATCCTATACCAGAGTCATCATCCAGCAGCACAAGCAGTGCAAGAGGTGTTAAGGAGGAGGAGGAAAGACTATAGCGCTAATAACCTTTGTTGTAGGTGCTTAGTTGCCTTAGCTGGTTGTAAGCTCTCAGAAAATCTGCACCCTGTTAGCACCTTCCTTGGACATGTAGAGGTGTTAACTGGATCAGGTCAAAGCAAGTGAACACAGGTGGTCTAGGGTTTTCAGAAGTGACTGAGACAGCTCCTGAATTGCAGTGTCCTGGTTGCTTAGATTGTGGCTGCTCATGGCTTTCTCACAATTTAGAGGAGGTGGGGGCTTTTTTTGGTGCTTCAGTTTAAATGGCTAGAAACAGCCACCCCTGAAAGGAGAAGCTGTAAAGATTTCCTTGGAATAAACAGGGAAAGCTGTGTCTTGGGCCAGCCTGTTCAGGGAATGTGTTAACCCACTGAGTGCCTGCTGACTCTGCCCGTTTCTGCCTTGTGCCCCTGCCTGCAGGGGTGAAGCCTTGTTGGCTGGTTCTGCTGCCTTTGCCAGGAACAGGACTCATCTCAGGAGTGTGGGCTTTCCTGCCCAGCACTGTGGAGAAGGTGCACAGGCATCATTTGGGCACTTTAGCATCCAGAGTGCCCTCTGTGTTATGACTTGGTTATTCCAAAATCTCCTTGTTTGAGCCATTTGTCCCAGTGATAGCCATAGATAGACATCATGAGGGTACCCCCTTCAGTGCCATTGCTGGGAGAGGTAGGCAAGATTTCTCTTTGTATCAGCCACCAGCTGTCAGGTATCACCCTGTGTTGGCAGCCTGGCTCTGTGGGACTTGCTTTAGTCTAGGCTAAACACTTAATTTCTGCATTTCTTTTCCTTATGGACATTCCTTGTGTCTGGCTTCATTGAAAACCTTTTCAGACTTTGCCCCTAACTCAACAGTTTTGCCTGACATATTGCTGTCTTCCTTCTGGAATGTGCAGGGGGGAGATCAAGGGAAGCGACTCCAGCTGCAATCACGTCTGCTTTTTGAGAGGACTCCTTGCACGGCCTCTGAGAGGTTACAGGGTGCAACTGCACAACTGACAAAAGAACATACATTTAAATTGTTCAATTTAAAGCAATTTGAGATCCTTCTAGGATGTCAAAACAATCTTCAGATCATTCTCTACCTCAATTTTCCCAGCTGTAAAAGAGAGATAATGAGACATAATGACATTCCTTAAAGCAGATATCCAAAGTGCTTAGTCTAAGCCCATCTCCTTAATTAACTGTCCGAGCCTCAGGCTTTAAGCTGAGTAGGGCCTGTATCTCCACACTGCAAGTGTTTTTTACAGCACTTTTTAAGAGTGAGAGTGAAGTGGCTAGATTCTGGACATACAGAGCAAATAAGTGGTGGAGTTAAAAGTCTCTTGATGTACACAAATAGTGGATATTGTTCCCCTTAGAGCAGCTTCATGTTCTCATCTGTGCTCTGAACATCCTTGGCTCCTGGCCTTGTAGTTGGGATGTAATTTCTGCCTTTTGAATGAAGCAGATATGTTTTGGAAAGGAGGAGTAGCTGCTGATGGAGGTCTGACCTCTGTATGCAGGATGGGGGCCTGCATTTTGGATAGGATGGCCTGATTTGTTTCACTGAGAAGAATTTGTTCCCAGCACCAGTATTTGTCACACGCCTTGCATATCATGAAGTTCTCATGGCGTTAGTGTCTCAGCATGAAACAGGATCCACATAGCTGGAAGCCATCTGTGCAGGGGATAGGACAGAAGGGGGTGCTCAGAGGCTAAGTTCATTTTGTTCAGACACTCTACGCAATCCTAGCAAGAGGCAGTCCTTGTCCTGTAGCACTTGAATCAGAACAGATGTAGCACATGAGAAGGGAGGGGTAATGATCTCCTCCTCACTTTTTTTTAAGCTGGGGATCTGAGGCACAGTGCGACGCAGTGCCGGGCTTGCATCCCAGAGGGAGCTTGTGGGGCCACTGGCAACCGAACCCACAGTGCTGTTCCAGGGGGGTGAAGTGACCTAATGCCACATGCTGAGAATCCAAGGCCGTGGGTAGTAGATCATCTTCACGCAGATGTGAGCGGAGCCCTAACAGCCTGTTGTTGGGCTGGGAGCCAGTTTCAGTCCCAGCGTTGCAGACTGGACACTGACATCACTCAGAATGTCAGAACGGCGGCTGTTTACTGACCAGGAGCTGTATTCTACACCAGCAGTGTCCAGGCAGCGTCCCACGGAGCTCTGTCGGGCTGCCATTTAAATAGCAGCTTATTAAATGACATCCAATTTGACTTTCCTTATTCTCTTTCTTCCCTTCTCCTTCCACCAGGAAAATTATTAGGGATTGAATTGTGTCAGGGGGCTGGGAGAATGGATCGCTCCAGACATGAGGAGACCTTTGAGTCAGGCTGGTCAGATGACTTGGACCCGGCAGATGATGATGAAGAGAAACGATTCTGTTCCATGATGGAGCAGCTTGGAGCAGCCCAGATGTTTGAAGAGTAAGTAGGGGAGTCTCATGGCATAACTTCTACCCTGTTTTGATCTTGTGATACCAAAACTTCAGAGTACCAGGAAAGACCAAAGATGTGAACTGAGCTGCTTGCTCTCTGAAGCACTGCTTGGGCTTTCTGTACTGCTATCTTGGGTTTCCATATGCTTGGTAACAAACGCAGTGAAGTCTGGGTTTTCCCATCAGTTACCAATTCCTTTTAGTGCCGTGCTTTTTGCAAATATTTTCCCAAACTAGAGTTCATACCACGGCTGTAAAATGTAGCAGTTGGTGGCACGGAAGCCCATCTGCACACAGCAAACGAGAAGCGGCATATAAGGGTTAGACAAGGTAAGGGGGATGAGTGTGCTGCTGTTCCAAAATGTTGTGTGACTGCTCACATTTGTTCAGACAATCTTCGTTGTAAGAGTCCCTGTGAAAGAGAGTCTGTGAGATGCCAAGCTCAAGGGGCTGACTGGGACTGGGCTGATCTTGAAGAGTGTGAAAGGCTAAACTGGGCAAGGGATGCTCACCTGAGCCTTGAAACTTTATATTAATGCGCTTGCGTATGGCCCCAGTAGAGTCTGCTGGCCCCAGTGTCATCCAATTCTTTTTTTTAGGTCCTTCCCAAGTGAAGCATTATGCGTAACTGGGTCTTACTGATGCACATCTGCTGGGACTGGGGTGCCCAGCTGCACCTGTAGCAGCTCTTTTTTTTCAGGCATCCTAGTCCGACAGTGTTGCCAGTTTGCAGGGAGCAGCCCCGGTAGGGGCAGGAGGCGGACACCATGGGAGACAGAAGCTGAGAGTGAAGGAGTTTATGGCTTTCAGAGCTGCATCTGTCACAAACCAGATTTTTTCTGTCTCATTTGCATTGTGATGCAGAGCACTCGCGTGTTTCTTTTAATGCTAAACAACTTCTCCTGACCTGAAAAATTCTGCGAAGCTGTTATGCCTCAAATAATGGGGTGACACTGTGAAAGATCATATTACTGTTCTGGAAAAACAGTGTCTGCTGTTTATAACTCTATTTTGAGAAGCATCAAGTCTGAAAGTGGTATTATTTATTTTGACCACTTGCAGTTTTATGCAATGAGTTCAGTAGCTACTTCATGTCATTCCTTTGTGCCAAGCCAGCTGTTGTAGAGAAGTAATATAAAAGAGAAGCTAGCTGGAGTCACAGCAGGGATGTGAACTATCTTTGCTGGTTTTGCTAGAAATAAATAGTTTTGTTTACTAATGGGATTCAATATGTTCTTTTATCTAAAACACAAAGTTTTGATGAAGTGCTAGTAACTTTTTCAACTTGGGACAGAAAAAGGAGGCTATCATGCAGTGGTGGCAGGAGGAATCAAGAGTTTTTTGGCTGGGTTTTTTTGGTTGTTTCACAAAGACTATTAAAGGAGACAAATACGTAGACAAAGAAAAATACCTATTTGGATAATGCCTATAGGTATAATTATTCTGTATATTTCAAGGTGTTTCCTCCAAAGTACTTAATGGATTTAAGAAAAGATTCAAAATAATAATAAAAAGCTTTTCCCTCAAAAGAAGCATGAAGTGATGTCTGCAGGCTTATGACTCTTTGGGAAGGATTAAGTTTGTAAGTGCTGTGTTCCAGTTGTGATGAATTAAATGCCAAAACAGTCTAATCATTATTGGAGGCTCAGAAAAAGAAGACTGGGTTTTCAGGGCTTCCTCTACTATTATTCTGATGTGACACCTGAGCAAAGTTGCTTCTTTTTTCTTGTGCCTCAGTTTTCAAACCTGTAAAATAAATAAAGGAGGACAGTAGCATCTACCAGTACAATCCTGGTGTGAGAAAACCACCTTTGTGATGTGTGCTAAAATCCCTGGGCTGTAACAGTTTGCTGCTTGTCCATAGCTCACAGCAGATTTGCTGAATGTTCATCTCTTCGAGTCTTGGTTTAGACACCAAATGTGTTATTACTGAATACTTGGAAAAATAATCATTCCAGGTTTGCTTTCTAGCTGACTTTTCTTTTCCTCTTTCAGATAAATTCCTTTATTTTAACCTCGCAGTAGATCTCACTCCACATGTGTGCTCTATTCCTGTCCAGCTTCCCTCTTCACTATGATGGTGTCATGGAGGTTGTCCCAGGAGAAGGGCAGTTGGTCTGCCCTGAGTGAGTGTTGGAGTTGGAATAATAGGCCGTAAGATGACACAGAAACTCACTTGCTTTCCTTCTCTCTTGTGTGCTTGCTCCAGTCCACGTGAGATTCGGGAGCTCTGGGCTCGGCTACGAAAGGAGCGTCCAGAGCTCTTATCCAATTTTGAAGAGTTTCTGTTGCGTGTTTCATCATACATAAGGGAGGTGAATCATGAAAAGGAGTCTATGGAACAGGCGTTGAAGCGGTAAGGAGACCTTCATGGCCATTTACTGTCAGCAACCAGCTGATAGTTGGATGCTTCCTCAAATGCAAGGAGAGACTGCGTTGCAGGTTGCAGAGATTTTTCTTGCTGCAATAAAATGACTCTTTATCTTGAGCTGATCCCCACAGGTTTGTTTTGCATCAATGTCCACCCATAACATTTGGTCTGGTTAAAATCCCACTCAATGCCACACAGCAGTTAGTGGGAGTCTGTTTCCCCACTCCTCCTCTCCTGTTTCCTTTCTGTATTCTCATTCTCTCTCCTGACCTGCGTGCACCGTGCCTTTTGTAGGAAGGAGACAGACCATGACCGAGAAGTCAGGTGCCTTTATGAAGAAATGGAGCAACAGATCAAAGCAGAAAGGGAGAGGCTGATCTGCCAGGTACCCCATCTCTCTTGGCTGAAGTCAAACTTTCTCTGATCTGAAACAGAGGTGGTGGCTCACCTGGCCATGGAACAGCTGTTTCTGTGCTGGGTGCTGTATGCACAGCTGTGTATCTTTACCTCTGTAGGAGGCACTGAGACATGACAGGAGTAACCTGCTCCAGAAGGAACTGTGCAGCAAAGAGCAGGAGCTGGAGAAAATCCTCTACCGCCAGAAGAAGGTAACAACACCCAAATCCTTTCTGAAGAAGCACATCCCCTTCTGCTGTCTTTCTGCTAAGGCCTTTTCTGACTGAGAATGGTTTTCGTCTGCTGAGGGTTGGTACTAGCTAAGCTTGTACTAGCTAGTCTAGTTCTCTCCTGTTTCTGAAAGTGTTGAAGTGGTTTGTCAAGTGGTTGGTTGGTCTTCAACTGTAATGTCTTCCTGTGAATGTTTTGTCCATGCATTTTCTTATCAGCCTTGTCTTCCCTTGGCACAATCTTCTTATCAGCTGTACATAACTATTTGGCAAGGAAGACAGGATAAACATTTGGAAGTTGTGAATTTGGAGTCTTTTTTGGTGTGTAAGAAAGCTGTGCATGGATGTACAAGACCCAAATTTCTCTCATTTGTGTTTTCTGGCAGCCCCAGAATAATCCAGAGTGAACAGTTCTGTGATGTGTAGAGCTCTACATACTGTATATTTGCATTTCAGCACCTAATGATGTACTGATTAATCAGCCACAAAAAAAGATCAAAGCAGAAACTTTCCTTTAGCCTGCTGTCCCTGGCACGGACATGTCTATGGGATGGTCCGTTTTGCATGTCTTTTTCCTTTTTGTCTGAAGAACTGAGATATGACCCCCACAGAAACAAGTCACGGGAGGTACCTGTAAGATGCTGGTGACTGGGGATATCCAAGTTGGATACCTAGATGTGATGTTGACAAAACAGCACTTCTCCTAAATCGTCAGGTCATTGTGCAGCAGCTGGAAAAGCCAGCAAAACTTAGGTACCATCAGGAAGGATATTGAGAATAAGATAGAGGATGTAATTTTCCTGCTGCCTGCACCCTTGATGTGCCTCAATTGGTGTGTGCAGTTCTGGTCTCCTCTCTGTCCTTCTTAAGTATGAAGGTACAGAGAACTAATATGATTAAGGAAATGAAGCATCTGCCTTAGGAAGAGAAACTAGGAAAGCTTAGACTTGATATTGGAGAGAAGGAGACCGAGGGAAGATACAAGTGAGCTTTATGGACTCAGGAAGGTGGTGGATAAAGTCCAGATAGAACTGTTATTCCCTAAGTCCTGCAACAGCAGAAGTGAGGGACATTCACTGAGACCAGTATGAATTTGATTTAGAAGAGCATACTTCTTTACACAGAGATTAGTGCTGGATATTTTTGCCCCAGGAGGCAGGCAGTATCAGCAGTTCAAAAATGAATTGGACAAACAAATGGACAACAGGCACATAGATGTTTATTAAAAGGAGGAGGAGTCAGAGATGTGGTCTCTAACGTCTCTAGGCCAGGGACCACAGATGCTGGGGGTCTATGAGGGGAATGGGCCGTCATTTGGTGTCCAGGCATGCTCTTCCTAGGTAGCATCTCCTCTTGCAATGGGTCAAGGTAGAGTGCTGGGCTACATGGACACTTATTCTTACTCAGATAGTCATTTCTGATCCTCTTAACTCTGAGGCTTGTACTAAGCTATGTGGATAATCAGGTCCCTCTTGTGGCGTAAGACCAGTATTGTGATCATGCTGTTCTACAGCATCACTCCCAAGTACAGGCAACGTAAATGGGAGACTTGTGTGTGATAGAGATTTCTTAGGGAGGGGCACGTGTGCTTTGCTTAAAGCCTGTCCCCTCACTTCCTGAAAGATCCAGAGGCTGTGAGCAGCTGTTGCTGTTTCTTGGTCTCAACTCCACTGCTCAGCACATGTGGTCATGCTCAAATTTTCCCTGATGTCCAAAGGACTGGAAGTCCCCAGACAAAGCTGGGTGTGACTTGTGCTTATAGCCTCAGCGGGGAGAGATGTGGGACTTGAGTTTCAAGGAATCTAGGAAAGGTCAGCTCTGTTCACTCCTGCTCACAACTGTTGTATGTGTGTGCTGGCAGAGAGCGGGGCAGGAAGGAAAAAGCACTTTATCTCGTGCCCTAGTGTGCTGCTTTACTTTCCTTTTGAGAGGGGGAGAAGGTAGGCTGAGAGAAAGGCAAGCTGAAGGTAAAAATGTGGAGGCTGACTCTGCCACTTACTACCCTGGTCAGGACTGATTCCTGGTGCTCTCTGGTTTCAAGCATTGATTGTATAATTTTTGTTTTGGGGCTGTAAGTTCTCAGAGGGGTACCACAATTTCTGTGTAGCACCAGCTTCAGCAGAGGGCCCTGGTTAGCTGATATGGCTGGCTAGTTACTGAAGTGTCAGTATGACCCTTCTTGTGATGCCCTACTTGTGACCTGAGATGGGCGGGCTTGCTGCATCTGTCTCTGACTCTTTCCCATACTACACCAGCCATTTGTGAGGAATCGCATCAGTGGTTGAGTACATGACTGCAGGCTGTGAACTTCCCAAATCAGGCTTGTTAGTTGTGCTGGGGTCTTGTGCTGCCTAGAGTGCAGCTGTGCCCCAGTAGCATTTAAACAACATCTCTAGCCCGAGGTTTGGTCTCCAACAGTAGTAAAGACCACCCAATCACTTGACTTTCCAGGTGTAGTGTGAGATACCCCTACCACCTCGATATATCCCCCTTTCAGCTGCCATGAGTTTAGGAAGTCCTCAAAGTAGAGGTTGCATTTCAACAACAGTGTTTAATAAATCCAGACAGACATACCCCTGCTTTCGCCCAAATCTTTCCAGTCCTCCTTTGACCCTCGTCTGAGCAGGACCTGACACCTTCATTTGCACTTTGATTTCTACAATACCTGACAGCAGCAAGCTCCTCATGCTGCCTGAAGCACTTCCTCAGCTATGCCTGACTAATTGCATTGCCTGCTCCCCAGTGCTGGCATGATGAGAAATAATTGCTTCCACTTCACCTTCTTGATGCCACTGGTGGTCCTGTAGACCTAAGTCATGTTTACCTCCCTTCTGCCTCATTGTTTACACCTGCTTTTTCAACTTGTTTTTACAGGCATGATGGTAGCACAAACCCCTTCCTCTCCGTGTTTAACCCCTCCTCCTCCTCTCCCATTGCAGCTGGAACATCAGCTACAGTCGCTGAACTCAGAGCAGCTGGAGACCCGTGTGCAGAATGAAAGGCTCCGGCACCTGAATGAAAATCTGCTGGAAGAACTGGAGAAAAGCAAATGGGAGCTGGAGGCAGTGAAGGGGCAATTACAGAAGCTCCAGAAAGAGGCTCAGCTTCAGCAAGAGCAGAAGGACAGGTGGGAACGGGCAGGGAAGGGGTTGTCAGGGCAGGGACCCAGTCAGAGAAGGAACGATAGACTAGTTAAAGAATAAGGATCTCTAATTAGAAGCTTTGGTCTCATCAGAGGATTGCCTGTCTCATCTTGAAGAAAAAAAAGTAACATCCCAGTGGTCTTAAGGGCGAAACAGGGAATGATACTGCTACCTCCCACCTGCCTTGAGTGGGAAATTAATATGTTCCTTGTTATTTGGCTAGAAAAGCAGTAAAAAAAAAAAATCTGTAAAAAAATACAGATGTATCTCCGCCTAAAGGAGGCTTCTCCTCCATGTATTTCCAGTTCATTATCACCTCTATAAAGTTCCTACAGATCCTCTTCTTACCACTTGTGTTCCTGTTTCTGGGCTTAATCTAATAATACTCAGCTAAAACATTGGGATGTTTCAGATCCAGATGGCAGTGAGCATCCTTCCCATCTCTAGCAGCTGAGGAACCTGGAGTGTGGAAGGAGAAAATGGGTTGCCTGCCCTCACGTTGGAGGAGAGTGGGGCTGCTGGGGACAACCCAGCCATCCCAGCTCTCACGGCAGTGCTGCTTCCCCTCAATCCTCCTCTCATAGGGCAGGCCCTTATCTTTGAGAATACCGTAAGTGTCCCTGAGAAAGGGATCTTTGTATTTCTTCTCCCATTAACTTATTTCCCCTTTTAAAATCCCCTTTGCCCAGGGATGTGTTTAGAGTCTCCAAGAACATGCAGAAAGAGAAGCAAAGCCTCCTTCGGCAGCTGGAGCTCCTCAGGTAAGAACAAGGCTGGGGAAAATGCTGAGCTCTTGCGCGTGTAAAAGGGTCTGAGGTTTCAGCACTGTGCCTGTTTCTCTCACAGAAGGCTATGGGAGTATATTCAAGTGGTGCTCAGACACTGCTTGTTTTTCTAGGTCCAGACAGAGTTGTGCAATCTGGCCACCTCTGGCAGAGTACAGGCTTATTTCACCAAGTAATTCCTCCACTGGAGGAATGCAGTCTTTCCTGATGGCTAAGGGGACCATGTGGAGCCCGTTACCTGAGCTGGGATACACAGAAATTCCAACGTGTCTGACAGTAAATAACATCCTTCTCTGTGTCCCAAGCAACCTTTCTGTTCTAGCTTTCAAATGTTGGTCTTTACTCCATTTTTGATGAGTGCTTCATTGTGTCTCTCCTGTGTCTTCCCTTGGAGCAGAGAGATGAACAAGAAACTTCGAGATGAGCGAGACGTTTTTGAAGCCAAGAAGCTGGTTAGTCTAAGAAAGAAAATCCTAATTCCCAACCACCCTCCTTTCATCTGCTGCTGTTGCTGTCACCACTCGGGGGCCTGTCACTTCCATGGGGGACAATGACCTGGGCTGAGGAGGCCTGTTGTGGTGCTTAATACAGACTCTGCAGCACCTCTCCGCCCGTGCTGGAGACAAGCTCTGCCGGTTGCCGTTGCCAGCTGCCCGGGTTTAACCCAAGGCGCGTTAGCGTGTGACTGACACGCAGCCCGGTGCAGGGCTGCAGCGGCTGCTGCCTGCTGCACACGTGGGGTCTGTGCATTGTGACAGGCCCTGGGCACGTGCGAGGAGGGGAGTGACGCGGGATGCATCCCTGGAGCTGGGTGGTGAGGAAGAAGATGGATTCCCTCATGCGCTGCCAGCTGACTGGGGGGTGGAGGGACATGGGAAGGTTTTGGAGTTTCTCTGACCCTTTGAGTTAGTAGCAGATGTTTTCAGATGTTCCTCTGGGGCAGCTCCCCATCCCTGTGAACTCTGCTGGGGTGGAGGTGCAGCAGTGAGCCTTGTGTCACAGGGCTAGGAGAGAGCAGGGGGCCTCTGACATCTGGAACAGTCAACTCCATCTCTGGCCTTTCCCAGTCTCCAAGATAAGTACGAATACGTGATCTATTTTTAATTCTTATTATTTTTTAATGAAAAAGTCTTTGTGTTCCCAAATGTCACTGGCAAGGCTGCTCTATTGCTCTATGCTCTTTTTGGACCCCTGTGTCTTTGCCTGTTCTGCCACCATGCCCCACTTGAAGATCTGGAAGTAGCTGCCTTGCAGTGAGGACAGGCAGTGGTAGGCTGAGAGATACTTTGTGGCTGGGGTGTAAGGGCACATGGAAGGGAGCACAGGGATTGTGCCCAGAGAGGGGATGAGATGCCCTGCTAGGGGAGAGGCTGGAGTTGTTCTCCAAGTGGAGCAGCAGCTGTATAAAATAACTTCAGTAACTGTTTTGGATGGAGGTGAGGTGTGTGTGCATGTGCCTTTGTGTGTGTGTTTCTGAAATCTGAAAGAAGATTTTTGTTTTTTTTTCTTTCCCCCTCACCCCCATTTTTAAATCTGCTGAGCATGTATGTGCACCAAGAGCTTCCTGCTCCTTCTTGGAGAAGTAATAAACACGGTCACTCTCTAGCAGAGTCCAGTGCAAGCATCTGCTGAGCATGTATGTGCACCAAGAGCTTCCTGCTCCTTCTTGGAGAAGTAATAAACACAGTCACTCTCTAGCAGAGTCCAGTGCAAGCAGGCAAAGAAGATGGTTTGTCCTCCTCTTTCCATGTGTAGTGGTTCATCAGCTTCTGGGTTCCTGTGGGTGGGGTGGGTGGCCCGTGGAGACCACAGTTCAGGTATGTACCTCCACGTGTGCAAAGCTTCTCTGCTTCTCCTCTAGTCTCCTTTGCCTCGCTAGGTCCTGCTCAGGACTGCTCTGAAACACGACAGTTTGAGCTGGACCTAAGGGAGAGCCTAGCAGAGAGAGTCATAGCACAGAGGAACCGCTTTCTCCCTTCTCCCCCTGCCAGCAGTAGGGATGGGGCAGCAGGGTGAACTCCACCTACCACCACTGCTCATCTGGCAAAGCTGTGTCATGCTGGGCACACGAAGCCTGTATTGGAGTACGTTTTTCTCCTTTGTCAGCCAGGACATCTTGTTGGCCACTCCGGTTTCAGTCCCCAGGAAAGCAGGGCTCCAAGGGATTGCAGAGATGCTGCAGAAGATCTGCTGTCCAGCCTGTCCCACTGTAAGGGGGAGAGAAAATAGCAATCCTTCCCTGCAGCAGCAAAAAGGAGAGTCCAGCCTTCTGATGGGGAACCCTAGTGTGTGACACACTCTCTGCCAGAGAGCCAGAGACTATCAATGTTTTTACAGGCTAAAAAGAAACCCAAGGCCTTAACACCCTCTGCTAGTGCTGGGAAGAGTTGTGTTATTTCTGTGAAATGAAGGCGTGATCAACAGGGGTTCTTTCATAGCAAAGATTTTGAAGTGGTTGGAAAGAGTTGGGCTGATAGCAATCCACCCACTGCTGCTTTGCACTTCTCAGTGCCCAGTTTAATACCTTGCTCTTCATAAGAGTTTCCAGTCCTGGCAGACCCTGGCCCCACAGCACAGTAGGGCACTGTTTTGCCCCAGTGGTTAAGTGACAGATAGCAATGTGTGGCTGTTTCTGCCTGTGTGCAAACCACTGCTCAGGGGTTGCGGGTTCAGCTTCACACCCATGGCCCACCTGGCCATGGAGTTATGCTTGCATGCTGTCTGTTGACAGAGCAAATCTCATGTTTGCTCATCATGAAGAATATTTTGGGACTCTGACTACGTTGGACACGTATTCTGCTGATAAACTAGAATTTTTCTTCTCTCACTGGTAAACCAGAATCTTGCCCATCCAAAATGCTTGTACATGTGCTGCTGTTGTTGTTGTGGAATCCTTGCTATTGTGTGTTGTACAGCTGCGATGTTGTGTCTGTCCCTTTACCAGTCTGGTGAAAAGCCAAATGCTACACAAACCTGGCAGGCCAATAAAATATGGCAGAACCAATGGCAAATCACGCCCTGTTGTTTCTCCTTTCTTACCCAGGTATGTACAGGCTGTTTCCTCTCCAGGTATGGTGGTGCCAGAGCAGATTGCCTGGGAGTCCCTTTGCTCCACAGGTGACTTGAAGGTTGCCACTCGGCTCCAGTGGGCTGTAACGCAATTTCTTTTTTCCTGTGTGTCTTGAGAGTAACCTGCTCAAACCCTGAAAACTTCCTCCTCCATCCCCACTGGAGAACCACTGGTTGGCTGAACCACAGCCTGAGACCAGTGTTGACCAAAGGGTCACTCTGCATTTGAGTATCCTTTGCCTTGGAAGATAGCGCTCCACAGTTGTGAGCCTCTCAGTGCTGAATTGTTTCTGTGGCTGGAGCTTCTCCTGAACACCAGTTTTATGTGTAAAATGTTTTGGTTTTTTGTTGTTTTTTCCCCAAAGTTCCTAGTTGTGTGAGGCCCTCTGTGGAGTCCAGAGAGTCTCCTTTTGTCGGACTGCATTGCAGTAAAAGTGTCTAGGGAGTTCTGTCCAACAGAGCAGCTTCTTAATTTTTTGCTTTTTAAAATAAGCGAGTGGTTATGGAAGAAATAGTCTTCGTAGTCCTGCCCTGGACTGTGAGCAGCACTAAAGAAGGCCTGTCCAGAGCTGCCTGCAGGTGTTTGGTCAGTTCAGAACTGCTGCCAGAGACAGATCTGGCAGGCTGCAAACTCTTCTTTCCCCACCTTTACCCCCAGAAATAACTTGTGAGGACGTGTCAGAAATCTCCAGACTTCCAGAGCGAGTACATCTCCCTTTCCCCCAGGGCCGAGGTGATGGGCACCTTGCCACGCTGTCTCCCACTTTGCGCTTTGTGTGTGTAGTCAGAGCAGTTAGCCAGTCCATTTCGGGCTTTAGCACTGCATTTGTTGGAGCTGGTAGGTCAATCCTTTCTCTCTGCCACAGGCATTCCTGCGTGGTCTCAGTTGCTCACCGTTGACTGCTGGGGATGACAAAGCTGCTGTATGGTGGGGGGAAGAGGGTGGTGAGAGGAGTTGTCCTACTTTCTCCTTCTCTCTGGGGAGCTGGTAAACAGTGGCTGTAGGAAGTGTGTAGTCGGAGGTAAGTAGGAGGAAGGCGTGGAGAGGGATGTTCGTGTAAGGCAGAAGAGCATGTGCCATTGCCCTTTGCAGGGCAGTCTCCTTCCTTCCCTGTGGTGCCTGTGCAGCTCTGGGTGAGCACTGGTGGAGGAGGGGATCTAGTGCCTTCTGATGAACGGGCAGGTGGTTTGTCCCACGAAACATCAGCATAATAAAGAGGCAGGTGGGGAAAGAGCAGTTCAGCTGTGAGGCCAAGTGGGGAACAAGCCACAGAAATCAAAACTCTGGCTGGCTAGAAGAAGAGTTTAGTTTGGGACAGCACCATTTTTGGTAGGTTTTGTTGCAAAGGGAAAAGCAGGGACAGCGATGCCCTATTGCATGAATTAAATGAGCTGAACTGAGAAAAGCAAGCCCTGTGCTCACCGGCGGGCACTGCCGCTGCGTGGTGTGGGGCTGCAAGAGCTCCAGCCTTGCCTCCCTGAAGCAGTCTGCCAAGGCAGCAAGTGGTTGGACTGGGGCTGGTCAGGTTCCTGGCTCCTAATCGCATTCTTCATCCCTTCTCTTTCCAACTTCCAGGCGCCTCAGAGCAAAAAGCCCCTGTTGAAGAAAGGGTCAGTGCTAGGCAGTTACCTGCTGGACGACAAGCCGGTCAAACGGTCAGATGGGCGTCTGTGTTGTGTTTGTGGTGTCAGTCAAGCTGTGTCCTGTGTCTAGTTGTCCCACTTCGGTGCTGGCTGGTTTCGGGAGCATGGGAGTGGGGTGCAGCTTGACTGTAGTGCTAGCTGCCTCTTGGCATCGGGTGGTGTTGGCTCAGCATGAAGCTGAGGATGCTGTTAGCTAATTTCCACAGCGGGGTGGACCCCCTCTGGGCTGCTTCGACACGCAGCAGTAGAGGAGCAAACCTAAATGCCATCAGAAGCTATGGGAGTGTTCAGGGGATGGGAGTCACGAAGGCTGCCTCTGACCGAGTCCGGCAGCTCCGTTTAAAATAACTGGATCATCTCCCAAGTGTGCCAGTTCTCCCTCGGGCAGAAATCCTGTCCACTGGCCCCTCACGCTAGAGCCCATATCCCTGGGGTGTGGGAGAGGGCAGGAGTTGCACAAGGCTTGTGTTCCTTCTGGCAGCTGAAAGCCCCACGGGGAGGGCCCAGCTCCAGGTGGGTTCATCCTGCCCATCTCCCTCCATGCCTATGCAGGTGCTCACCTGGCACACCAGGCCCCCCCTTCAGCCAGGGCAGGGGAACAAGTCTGTGTGGCCAAGACTTTTTTTTCTCCTCACTCTACAGCAGGCTGTGCAGTGGCTTCAACACCCACGTACGCCTGCTTGCCTGAACTGTGCTGATGTTAAGCATCAGCCCTAGTGAACTGGTTGCCTGACCAGCACACCAGTATTGGCTAAACGCCTGGTTCCTCTGAGAGGGAGGGGAGGCCAGCCCAGCCCTGACCTGGCTTGGAGCTGAATCTCCACTGCAGCTGCTGGCCCCAAACAAGTTTTAAAGGTGGCATGTTTCCCTGTTCCCTACCTGGTCTCTGCAGAAGGTTCCACTGCTTCCCAGTTTCTCCTGGTGCCAACCAGAGACATAGGTCTAGGCTCAGAGTTTTTTTTCAGCTTCAACTCAGCCTTAATGCTTGCAATTCTGGTAGTGACATTTAAGAACTGAGCTTCAGGCTCCTAAACTCATGGACATCATGAGAGTTATGCGAGAAGAGGAGAAGTATTTGTTGGTGCTGTCTCTGTCCCAGTGCCGTGTCACACCACATTGCTTGAGGAACGTGAATAAAATCCATGGGATCTGTAGCCACTGTTCAGAAAGTTTTGTTTGTCCCTATTTCCACTCCCCGCCCCAAAGAGGCTTTTGAGTCTCAGCCACTCATTGCTGCGACTCCTGACAGCCCTGGGAGATGGGGGCCATTCCCCGGAGGCTGAACCTGGGAGGATGTGTCTGTTTTCAGTGGGCAGAGGTTCCAGCTGGCCTGGCTCTGGGCTGACCTTTGGGGCAGATGCAGGGAGGACAACCAGGAATGTGAGCCCCCTTTCATAGAAAAAGTGTAGGCAGGGCAGCAGGTGTATTTTGCAGCCCTGATGAGGTGTACTCAGAGGAGTGAGAGAGAAGAGTTGTTGCCTCGATTCCTGTACTAGTAGTAAGAGAAAAATGTTGCAGAGAGAGGTGGGATGAGCTGCCTCTGAAGAGGTTGACTGCAATAAGCCTCTAGTCTCTCTAATTTGCTTCCAAATTCAATCTGTTGGCCGATGAAGGCAACAGAGATATCCCTGGTGGATAAAGCCCTTCAGTTGAGTTCTAAGCCCTCTCATTCCCTTTGTCTAGTTCTTTAACTGTGGAAAGCCAAGGCAGAGCTAAGATGCTGCCTTGCTCCTCAGCAATGATTCCAGTAGTTGAAAACTACTTATTCTAGTTTAAAACTAGTTAGTCTAACCGTTCTTTTGAAGACTGTTCCTCCAGTTACCATGTCAGTTCTACCCCCAAAGTGCATCAGTGTCCTCTTGTGTAGGCACAGTCAGTGCAACACCTATTCCTCACTACCACAGCTTAGGCAGGGCTCCTGGGGATTTCTTGCCATTGAATGTGCAAGCATGGCTGGTTGGAAGCTTTAAAAAAGAAACATCTTTCGAGTCCTGGCTCCCTTACCTTGGGCCAGGCATGCATGCAGGCCAGAGAAGAGCCCACACCAGGCAGAGTGAGCCTGGTGTGAGCATGTCCACTGCCCTTTGCACACCTGTGGCAGGTTTCTGTGGCCTGGACTCGGTAAGACTCTGCTACAGCAGTGTTTGGAAGCGATGGGCTGGCTTCCTGGGGCACGGCTGCGTGCCTCCAGCAGAGCACAGCCACATGTGCACGCGGCCTCCCAGGGATGACCAGCCAGCCCTCGCCCTACAAAACCCTTTTCACTAACCTCGGAAGTTTTGTTACTTCTTTTTCTGTTGTGTTTGGTAACAAAAATAGAGGAGGGGTTGTTGCTTCTTTTTTTAAAAAATGTTTTTCCTGTTGCCCCCTGTCTATGCTTTGCCTCATTGTTCAGTACTGGGAGAAGTGGGAGTCAAAGAATCCTTGAAAAATCCAGAAGGTGGGAATTTTCATTAAAATTAACAAAATGTATGTCAGCACATATGAGTACAGTATAGCTCAGGTGAGCTGTCTCTCTTTCCCTAGGGGTGCTGCTGATGCCTTAGTCACAGGGAGTATGGGGAGTGTGTGTATGAAGTAGAGTTCCTGCAAGCGCTGCATATGCACTAATTGGATCACATTGGTTGTTTTGGGAATTTGCAACCTCCTCCTCTTCCCCTCACCCCCTACCCTCCCACCCTATCTGTGGTGCCTGTGGGCTTTAATACAGACAACTGGCCTCTGCGGACCTTCCCTTCACCTTCCCGGTGGATGTGGCAGTGGAAGAACCCAACAGAAAGAACTGTAAATACATCCCAGGTGACAGGACGTGGCTGAAGACAGGAGAAGGAGGCAGCAGGAACTTCGGAGAAGAGGGCGAAGACAAGCAGAGATGGGCATTGGCAGCAGATGCTGAGTGGTTGAAGATGACTTTGAAGGACGACACTGATTGTAGAAAAAATACAGATGGATTAGATGATGCTCCATTGCCTCCTAGAGGAGAGCCCATTGGCACCGAAACCAGGGTGAGTCTAATTACTTGGGGTTCTTCTTCAAACACCTGGGACTTAAGGGTTCCTGACTCTTTTCTTATCTACGTCCAGCTCCATAGGTTTGTAGCGCAGGGGTCCAGTGCCTAAATCAAAGCATGGTCTGCAGCTGGGCTTTTCAAAACTGCATCCCTTTCTTCCTTTGTAGCTCCAGGCACTGGAACCAGCCAGCCGTTTCCCAGACCGCATCTTTAAAGTGGTGTTTGTAGGGAACTCTGGCGTTGGGAAGAGTTCCTTCATCCACCGCTTCTGCTATGACAGGTTCTTGGCTGAGCTCAATGCAACCATTGGTAAGTAATAGGGTTCCTGACTCATCTGGCTAAGAAAGGTGGTTAAGTCAGCCTAAAGATGGTCCCTCTCCCAATTTCTAATCAATCTTTCCTTGAGCTAAATAGTGTTGATCTTGGCTGTTGCAATGGCAAGCTGCTCTCTCCTCATCCTATATGATGATCATTGTTCCCTTCCTGACAGGTATCGACTACCAGGTGAAGAGTCTGATGGTGGATAACACCCAGGTTGCCTTACAGCTATGGGATACGGCTGGACAAGAAAGGTAAGAACTTTCTGTGAGGATGCCCTGCTGCCAGGCTCGCTGTAGGAAACAGGAGGAAAGGGAGGAGAGACTGTGTGCACCTGGTTTCTGTCTCTGGGAAAACTGTTAGCTTCAGTAGGACTAGAGAGCTCACAGCAGCTACTCCAGTGCTGAACCTGGAGCAAAGGTCTGTGTTGGAGATTTCTAGGCCCTGTGGCTGCGAAGCAGGGCCCAGGGAGATCACTCTGAGGACTGATGGAAAAGTAGTTTTTCGTATGTCTGACCTGCATGCTTGTGACTTCAGGTTGTCTGTCCATAAACAACCGTGTGGTGTGGCGTTCGAAGCTCTTCTATCTCTCAAAGCTCTCTCACATCAGCCTGTTTCTGGGAGAAGCTGCAGGACAGGCCTGCAGATTAGGATAGAAATGAAGACTCTGGGTAGACATCCTGTTCTCAGATCCAGATGTGCTACTGCTGTCCCCAGCTGCTCACCACCACTTGCTATTCAGAGGGTGGAAAGGAGTGTGTGAACCTTTCCAGATCTGATTCGGACAACGCCAGCTGTATTAGCTTGACCTGTGGTGAAGGTGATTTGAACTACCCTGCTGGACTCTGTCAGTGAAGTTATTGGCCTCCTCCACTGTCCCTTCTGCTGACAGACTTGTGGAAGTGATGATCCTTGGTAGAGGGGCAGTGTAGCTTTTTGTGACAGTGAATACACGTTCCCCATTTGAAGGTCTCTAGTTTCAAAAGCATGGGCCATCACTAGATGCTACCAGCACTGTTGGTGACGATCAGAATAGTAGAGGACACACTTGACCCTCATCTTCTGCTAGAGATGAAGGTCCACCACTACCTTCATGTAAATTAGATTTTGTTTAGGGTGCACTTTGAAGCTGAAGATGAAAAGCTATTTCAAGGGGGCTGTTAACTTCAAGAGCCTGGCAAAAAAGAGTACTGGGTATTTTGGGCTAAATATGTTGTAGGGGCAGGCCTTTGGGAGGCACCTGAGGTCATGGGAATATTATAATCCTAAACTGTGCCAGCAGAGTAATGGTGCTGGCTACCTCAGTTGGCTAGACCATGAAGACCTGGTGGGAATGTACCGAGTAGGTCTATCTACTGAAAAGCAAACTATTTCTTCCAAAATCATGCTGAAGAAATAATGATTTTTGAGAGGATTCCTGTGGTGAAGCTGAGCAGTAAGGGGAGTTGTTATGACATGAAATGTGACATTTTACTGAAGCCAGATTGCATCAGAGGCCAAGTTCAAGTTACTGTCTCTGCAGAAGGACCTTTAGGGTAGGCCTCTGCAGCATTAGCAGCTCTTAGACTTGTACTTGCAAGAGAGAACTTGGCTCAGTGCTAATACTGAAAAGGAGACCTGGGAAGCAGCAAAAGCTTTTCTTTCTTCTAGAGAAATATTAATTGCTTCTAACTGGAGGTATCCAGCTGTGAATATCCCATAGAAGAGATAGAGGAATCCCTTGAAGCGTGCAAGGAGAACTCCTTGGTGACTTCCCTGAGACTGGTGCATGCTATATTTGATGTTTCTTCTAGAACATCTAGCCTGTCCTGTAGTTGCAGAGGTGCACCTTGACTGCCAAAGGCAGACTCTGGGCTTTCTCACTGCGTAGTTGCCAGAATGTCACGCCCTTGTTGTAGTGAGAAAGAACAGGCTTCAGGCAGTCATCTGAAGAGTTCAGAAGGGTCGCTACTTGCTGTAGGTTTTCTTGGCTCTTAATAGAATAGGAGAGCTTGTTAGCCTGTGCAAGGCTGTAATACACAGCTCTCCAGTGAGATCTCAGTACTTGTGTTGCAATTAATTCCATCAGTTTTGCAATCAGTGTGGTTACATCATGCCCCTGTCACAAACCTCTTACAGATTTTAAGGCTTGGAGGGGGTTTGTGGCTTTTTTTTTTTTTCGGTTGTTGTTGGAATTTATTCCCAAAATACAACTCTGTGGTTCTAACTGATACCCACAGAACAAAGTAGATGTCTGGTGGGAGTTTCTCCTGGAAATTTTGTCTAACTGCTGATTTTATGTATGATGGCATTGCTTTATAGATTCAAAACTGGAAACAGACTGTATTGATGCTGAGAACTTAATTGCTGTTTTGGCAGCACTGAGGCAGACATTATGCATGCCTGCTTTATACTGTGGTCCAGCTTAGTCTGCAGATTCTTCCAGACTCTAGAGAAAGGTTGTGGCTTTTTCCATCCATTTCCCTTTTTATAGGCAATTACCTTTTCCTATCCCACCTAAACAGATCCTTCTGTTTCTTTCCTCCTGGCCTACAAAGGTCTTCCTTCCTTCTTTCTCAACATTTACAAAGACTCCTGCTTACCCCCAGCTGCCTGGCCTGCCTCAGAGGCGCAAGGCTCTGAGCTGCCACCAGTCTGTGCATACCAGCTCACGCACAGGGGCTGCCAGGCCTTGCAGAGAGCCTGCGCTAAAAGGCAGGTGTTGTGGTTTGGGCCTGATCGGCAACCAACCCCCGCAGCTAATCACCCTCCCTTCCCCCTCCCCACCTGGGAATGGGGGAGGGATTAGAGGGGTGAAGGGAGACTCGCAGGCTGAGATAAGAACAGTTTAATAATGGCAATAAAATGAGAACAATAACGATGATGGGGGAAAACAAAAAAGAAATATATAAACAGGCAATGTACAGCGTAATTGCTCACCACCTGCTAACCAATATCCAGCCCGTTCCCGGCCAGCGACCCCGAGATACCAAGATCCCACAATCGCAATCCCGGAAGCAAGAGAGCTCCTTCCCAACCACCCCTCCTTTATATAGTGAGCATGACGTTCCATGATATGGAATATTTCACTGGCCAGTTAGGGTCAGGTGCTGTGGCCGTGCTCCCTCCCTGCTCCCTGTGCCCTTGCGCACGGGCAGGACATGGAGAGTCGGAGAGTCCTTGAAGTCTCGGCAGCAGCTGAAAACATCAGTGTGCTATCAGTATTCTTCTCATACCAAACCCAAAGCTAAATCCGAAACACAGCACTCATCTAGTCCCTGAAAAGGAATATTAACTCTAGTTCAGCCCAAACTAAGACAACAGGTAATCCCGTTCTGTTTCTTGTCATTACACAGCCGTGGTTCTGAGGGTGCCTTTGGTTTCGTTTGGGCTCAGGTTTCGGAGCATTACCAAGCAGTATTTCCGGAAGGCGGACGGGATTCTGGTGATGTACGACATTACGGCCGAGTGCTCCTTCACGGCAGTGCGGAACTGGATGAGCAGTGTCCAGGTGAGAGCGGGGCCTCGGCTCTCTAACGCTGGTGGTGCTGCCGCCGCCTCGCCCAGGCCAGCTCCCACAGCCTGGGAGCGACGCTCCCCGATGCCCCGGGAGGTCCTATTGAATGATCAGCACTGATACTACGGGTACTGCCTGTGGTGGGTCGGTTTGGGACCAGGGGCTTCTTGCCGAAGGGACCAAAGCCAGTGGTAGCCCACTGAAATGAGGGAGGGCTGTTTCTGTGGCAGATGGCGGTGGGACCTGCCAAAACAGCGGCGTGTGGTTGTGAGCGGCCCAAGTGAGTTGGCAATGTCTCCTAAAGGTGGTCACGTCACACCGGTGCTCGGGCGAGGAGATCTCCCAGTGCCCAGCCTCTGCCCAGGAGAGGGGGACGGTCCTGGCGCGTCCAGGCTCAGAGCTGCAGCGTGCATGCACAGCGCTTCGCCCGGGCACGTCCCCACTCTGCTTTGGGATTTCTAGATGAGACTGACACATCAGTAATAGCTTATTTTTTGTCCTCATTTGCTTCAACTTCAACAGTTGATGTACTTTTTTACTTTTTTATATGGTGACTATGTGTTAATACTGTAGTCTGCCCCTCCTGCTTTCTGTTTCCAAGCTCTCGATAGAAGCATTCATCTGTATCTTCTTGGGGAGACAAAAATACCTGTGTGTATAATTTAGGTAAGCTGTGTATAGATGACTCTGTGATAGCTGAAAGGAAACTGTCAAAGACAGTTTTGTTATGATTGTGCCCGGTCTCAAAAACTAAGAGCCAAGATCAGAGCGAAATGACTAAGCATAGGTTGGAGGTTTCTAGTATTATTAACTTCCACAGGCCTGTTGGGGGGGAAAAAAAAAAAATAACCAAACAAAACACTTAGCTATTTCTTTGGACTCTAACAGATCAAAGGTTAAGATTTTTCAAAATTAACCAGCCTCTGAAAATCAGGCTCCTTTCAGGAAAGTTAAACTGAGCACACAGAAAATCAAAGCACCTGAAATTTGTAACTTTTAATAATCTCTCTTATTTTCCTTTTCTCGTCTTAGTATTTATCTTGCTTTGAAGCTGTTCAGGTACTGTAAGTCATCCATAGCAGTCAAGTTTGGAAATAACTTCAAGCCCCGTTCTAGGGTCCTTATGCTGGTGATGTTCTAGTAAGCCAGTGGAACTAGAGGGAGTTTTAACAGAGGTAAAATCCGGGAATCACCTAGGAATAACAGTTCCTACAGAGACCCTGCACAGGAGTTGAAAGTTGCTTAACTTGCTTGGCCAGTGGATTTTTATCAAGGGATTGTTGAGTTTAGGACAGCACATCAGATAAATAGCACAGAAAAATTATTGAATTTAAGAAGCTCTGCCTGAACTTAAATTCCCAGCAAACTATGGGGCAAACTGCTTTTCTTAAGGCTTGTTACTTCCCGGAGAGGGACATATGTCCTGTCTTCCCTCTCTCTGCATCCCAGCCTTACATACCAAACACTTGAAAGACATTCCTGTAGTTTAAGCTACCTTCCACAAATCCCTGGGGTGATTTGAGGAATGGCCCTTTAATGGCCTGACCCTGCTGCCACCGAAGGTCTTGTTTGCATGAGCTGGAACAGGATCTGCTCCAAGATATTCCCCTCCCTCAGCCGAGTTTCTAGGGTGCTTTACTCTGTTTCTTTTGCAGGAGGGCATCGAGGATGGAGCTGTGGTCTTTCTGCTTGGGAATAAAATAGATGCTGCGCAGAGAGAGACCCGGAATGTGCCCAAGGTGGAGGGGGAAAGGCTGGCAAAGGTGCGACTCAGTGCTCTGCTGCTCGGCCTGCTCTGCAGCCTCCCTCCAGCTGTGAGCTGGGCAGCCTGGCTGGCAGGGAGCCCTTCTTGGAGCCATTTCCCCCTATGGTACCTTCCCTCTCCCCTCCCACCCCCTGGTTCTCCAATGTAAATGTGTACCGAGGTGCCTCTGGTGCCAGGGAGGATGAAATAGTGGCCAGCACATGGCAGCTAATGGCCCTTGAGGCACGCTCGTGTGTTTCTCCTGAGGCTCGATACCTCCTTACAGCAATGCTCAGCCTTTCTGAGGGGAGCATGCTTGGCTCTTTTCCCATTTGGGGACTCCCCTGATGCATGCTCTGCCTGGGCTCCCAAGGCTGAAGAAGCATCTCCTCTTCTTGTGTTGGTGAGCAGGGCGTGCGCCCCAGCGGGGTGGCAGCAGCCGTGTCCCGTCCCCGTCCCTGTCCCTGTCCCCGCTGCTCTGGGCCGAGTTCCCGGTGGTGAGGGTGGGCCAGCAACCCGGGGTGGGGTGGGTGAATGGAGGGTGGGCCAGCAACCCGGGGTTGGGTGGGTGAATGGAGGGTGGGCCAGCAACCCGGGGTTGGGTGAACGTGGGGGGGAGAGCCGGCAGCCAACGCGGGCGCTTGTCTGCTCTCTGGCAGGAATACAAGGCTGTGTTCTACGAATGCAGTGCGATGACTGGCTATAACATCACGGAGCCCATGCTGCACATGGCCAGGTGAGCGACGAGGAGCAGCCACCCTGGGATACTTCCCCAGCTGTAGGAGACTGGTGTGGAGAACCCTGAGGAACGGGCAGGAAGAGGGGCTTGTCAGAGACTGACCTTGTGCCATGTCACCAAAAAGAACTGGAGCGACACGCTCTTCCCCCTGACTCCAGGTCCTTGTCTTCTGTGCCTGGAGAGCATCAAGTGTAGATTGGACATTACTGCCTGCAAAGCTTTGTCTGGCAGAGCTACCTGTTGAAAGATTGGGAGTTTAATTTGAACATTTCATCACAAAAGCCTTGTGTACTATCCCAGTTTTTAAGTTGGCATTTACAGTTTGAAGTCTGCATGCATCTCTAAGGGTTTTTTCTTCCTTATCTTATTAAGCATTACACAGAATGTGATATTCTGGTGGCAATATTGTTAAAGGCAGATAAGACTCTTTTTAAGGCTGAAAGGGGTTTGCTCTAAGATTTTTAGTTTTTAAAAAAGCAAGTAGTTTTGAAAAAAGTCTTTGGAATCCTGCAAGAAAAATACTCTTTTTGTTTTCTTTTATCCCTTCACCTCCTGCTGCATCATCTCTGTTGAATTAACAGCAGGATTTAGCTATTCATTAACTGGGATGATTTACTTCCTAGCGAGGTAAATCATGTGTCCCATAGCATGTGCCTTCAGTGTGCTTTATTACCATGCTGCTGCTCAAGATGACCCAGACAGGTGAAGCAAACAGCCCGGGATTCTGCCACCAGTGTGGGAGCTCGGGAATAAGGCACAGACCACGCACACCCCGGTCTGGTGCTCTGACTACTAAGCCATGCTGTCCCTTCTTGCGTGTGTCCAGTTTCTTTCCCTGTTCCCTGGAAATTCACGCTCGTTTTCTCTGTGTGGTTGATCTAGTCCCAACTTCCAGAGAAGCCTGGTCTTTGGGCCAGTCACTTTTTGCAATCCTAAATGTCCCTGGCTGATGGGGAGCAAAGGGCAAAGCCAAATGTCTTGGCAGGAAGACCTCAGTAACTCGGTTGTGTTCTTGATCTGTGCTGCTTGTTCCAGGTTGCTGACAGCACAAGAAGACAGGCAGAGGGAGAATGCCCTGCAGCTGGAAGATGTCAGCAGGAGGAAAGGGTGCTGCACATGAGGCACATCAATGTGTCAGCAAGAGACATGTGCCAACACTGTGTCCTGAAGCTGGGGTTCCTTTTGAGCAAGACGAATCTGATGGCATCAGCTCTGCAGAGACTTGGGGAAGCTGCAGCTTTCCCCCATCTGGGAATTTCAAGGCACTAAATCAGGCCAAATATGATCTGCACGATTCCATTTCCCAACTCTGCATGTAGCCCTGGTCTCTGGAGGCCTCTGCGTCTTTGGAGGAATTCGGCTGGTCTTGGCTAATAGCACAAACTGGGTCTTCTGTCTGGAGAGGTCACTTCCTTGTAAGAGGATGAAGTCTTGTTCCTTTCCTTTCTGGCAAAGAAGTGGCCTAGCAGCAGAGCATGGAGGACACAGTGGGTGCTGTTAAATAGAATTTTAGTGTAAGAGATAAAGAAATTATTTTAAATTTGGGCCAGATCCAGGTAGTGATCCATCCGTCTCAAAGAGCAGCATCTTCTCTTGGCTCTGTAACAGTAGAGCTCAGCTGAAAACCTGCTGTGGAATGGGGGAAAACCTCCACCAGTTCCCGTAAGAGCTGGATCACGCCCTGTGTTTACTGTGAAATTTGGTTTGACTTGCCAATACCGTAGTTAACTGATCCCATGTGTGGATATAGTGTGAACTGAGTCATCCCGATGGCTTTCTTCACGTTGTTACCCTAATGGACGTTGTCGCTGTCCCTCTTTCACAGTTTACAGACCACAGAGCAGTTGCCCTGGGACTTGCAGGCGCTGGCAGCGCCGCTGATTCATGACCCCTTGCCAGAGCAGTGCTGTACACCCTGGGGAGGGGGCACGTTCAGCCTGTTTGAAGGCCGACTGCTGCCTGTTTCCTCCCATTCTCTTATCCTTTCCTGAAGCAGCTCCAGCAACCAGGGACTGACTGATCTGCAGTACTGAAAGATCCCACCCCAATAGCTGGCCCACAGCGCTCGCAACCTACCTGGGCGGGAAGCACAAGGCGGCTGCCGGCCTGAAACATACCCAGTGAAGCTTTTCCTCTCGCCGTGACCTTGGGCAGTAATCACTTGCCTGGTGAAGGGTCTAAGAAAGAGCAGGGCCAAACCTGTTCCTGTTGGGAAGGGGCCTTCTTGTCACTCAGGAGCGGGGCAAAGCAGGGCGAGGGGGGGGGGCACGGGCCCCAAAAGCGCATTTCTCGGCACAGCTGCGGCTGCGCCTGGGCACGAACTCCCTGCTGTGCTCTGGGGTGGGCTGCTTTCTGTTTTGTAGCTCAGTTGTTCTTAAAGCCTCGTCAGACTAAGCTTTTTTTGTAATGCCCTGTTCCCCTCCTCCTCTGAGCCTGTTTCTGTATGTGACTTTGATGTTTCAGGCACAAGACGTGATACTGCAGCAGTGAAGCGGTCCCCCCAGCCTTGCAGCGTAGGGAAGGCCTATTTATCCACTGTCTTTCCTCTCCTGGGAGAAGGCAATTACTCTGAATGTCTGCTTATTGCACAAATTTCTCTGGGAATATCCCATGCAGGAAAAGTGCTCTGAGTCACCTATAGCCCATCAGTGCTACAAAGAATTTCCATGGTTCCTCCCAGTGCCCTTTACTGCTGATAGGAAAGAGGAAGTTCTTCTCGGGAAGAGCAGGGTTCCTGACTAAAAGGAACAGCTAAAAGTAATAAGCTCCTGTTCAATCCTTACTGCAGGCTGGCTGTGGTTCACGCTGTGTTTAACCGCAGTAATGCCTTCCAGAGGCTGGGAATCGGAAAGTTAGAAGAGGTCCAGAAGGACCCAAGGCTGCTGGTGCGGAGTCTAGAGTAACACTGGCCGTGCTGCCAGTGGAACTGCTTGTGTTTGCAAGAAACAGTGTTTGGGAAGGGAAGTCCTCTCTATTTTTCAGAAAGCACCAGTAATCTGAACGCAGACGTGGCTTTCTAGCCAACGTGGACGCGAAGGAGCGCAGACGTTATCGCCTGTTGAATAGGTGAAACCCACTGCCTGAGTTGGGAGCGCTGCCGCAGTGATCCCTCTGCTGTGGCGCTGACTGAGAACCAGAGTCTTTGGTTGGGGCCCATCAGTAGTGGGAACATTTACCTCCCTGTGGCAGCAGGAACTGGGAAGTTGCTGCAGGAGTAGCCAGTCTGCTAATGTGGTGTGAACACGTACCTCCCACACTGTGCAGAGGACACGAAAGACAAAGGTGTGAAATACAGCTGTTGCACAAGTATGGGCCAGTCGATGGATTACCTTTATCAGTGCTGTCATATTGCCACAGCAACAACTACCACGTGCGTGGGCTTTCTTAATGTGCAACCTTAAGCATGTTTTCTTAAGTGCGCAGAGTACAGGCAATAAAGAAATGCTGTCTTACAAATGGTTGTGTTGAGAGATTTTTTTCAGGCACTGCAGGAGATTCAGCCTCTCTTCTTCAGTGGGTGATTGTAGCGTGACCTCCCCTTCTCGCTGCTCAGGAAGGGCTGAGAAGCCTGTCCCCCATGGTGGTAATAACAAGAGGTTTATAAGTGGGGAGAGAGTTGATCAGGAACCCGTGTCTTGGAGGCAGTACCGGAGCAGTAAATCTCCAGTCTTATTTTTTTACCTCTTTCAAGCAGCCAGAGTCCAGCTGAAGGCAGAGCAGGGAGGAGAAAAAGGGGAGATGCTTTCTCAATGTGCTTTCAGAGACAGCACATTCTCACCTTGTACCTATATTTGTAGAACTAAACACTTACTTTAATAATGTCCCATGCATCCTTTTCCCTAAAGGTAGGAATTTGGTTGCTTTTAATCCTTGTGCCTTGGCATGGCTCCAGCTGGGTGTTTGTTGCTTTTAATCCTTGTGCCTTGGCATGGCTCCAGCTGGGTGTTTGTGCATTACAGAACAAACCTCTCTGCAGCTTTGACCTAAGAAATTATTACTCATTTCCCCTGCTATAAATTGATAGCACGGGTAGCTCATTGTAACATTTTTTTTAGCAGGAACAGGATGGACTTTTGTTTCAACCATGACAAAGTGGCACAGCGTTTGAACAGGTTACACTTGGACAACAGTAAGCACCAGGGTGGGTTTTACTACTGGATGGTCTTCCGTTGTCTCTCTGCACAATATTTACATGTCCTGTTGGAAGATCCAGACACTTATAGTCTAGAGGGGCATGTTGTTAGTTTTCAGACCTGATACCAGACCCAGACCAGACCAGGCTTTCCACATAATTCCTAATTTTACTACATCCCCCTGTTTTTCTCAGAATCTTTCCTGCCTCTGAATGGCAGCCCTGGGAGCAGCCATCCTTTGCAAGTGACTGCTGGGAACTGCAGCGTACATAAAAAGCAATTAAAGGGGATATCCTGACGTGACATGAGTCAAGGGAGGACACAAAACAGACTTGGCCTTGGGGCTTATTCCTGCACCACGTTGGCTGTGGTCTCTTAGTGGACAGGTGACGTTTTGCACATAATCTCTAAGGCATTTTAGAATTGTATCTGGAATCGCTACAAGAAAGTACTCTTCTTACAGCCTGGGAAGCCTTACCCTGGCACATGCAGGTGCAGCTGTGTATACAATCAGATCTAGGGGCAAAGGTAAAAAAACAACTGCTCTGATAAGCTGTCATGGTCCCACAAAGATCTGCACGAAGGCAAAGGGACCCCACTCTGCCTTGCGTTTCGCTTATCATGTTAATGTGCTAAGGATAAGCATAACAGGATTAGCCTAAGAGCGTCTCTTTGAAAAGCCAAAACAGGGCTGAAGGGAAAGCATTAAACCAGTGTTAAGTTAAAGCTTTCTCACAGGGCAAATGCAGGAACTGCAAAGGTTTGGGATGTTGTCTTCTGCTACTTTCTTTATTCTAGCAGCCTAAACTCAAGGGACAGTTTCCATCTACATGCATTTAACCAGTTCCTGCTATGGGGATCATGCAGTCTCTCACACATTATCTTCTGTCCTGTCTTTCCATGTGCCTTTCCATGCTCTTTTTACTTGTTAGTTTTTTAGTCCATATATATATTGACCAAGTACTCGAGCTCTGAGGATAAGCATATCTCATAGCTCAGGCCATGCACCTTTAAATGCTCTATTTGGAAATCTCCTGCTCAGCACCAGTAGATCCACAGCCAGTCCTGCAGTTCAGAGCTTCCTTAGCTCTTTGAGCCACCATCAGTCTGCTCATTACTTACCTGTTTATGAGTCACACGAAAATTTCAGTTGGCACATCTACAATAATCTGGCTCCAGACTCCAGCCTGCAAGGCGTGCTTTATATGCATATCAAGCTACGCGGTTTAATAAGGCCCTGATCCCGCAAACACAAGTGTAGCTGTGCACCGCTTCTGAAATGACTTGTCCACAGGAGACCTGACCGGATAAAATTAGTTTTTCAAGGTAAACACGTATCTCCAATAAATATAGGTGGGATCCCCATGGGCTGAGGAGAGATTTGGCTTTCTCCTCAGAAAGGGATTAAGTGATTTTTGAGCTGGGCACACGGGCCGGAGATGTTAAGTGTCACAGTTGAGGCAAACACCCAGGAGGTCCTAAACCGGCCTTTTCCCTTCCTCCCTGCTCAGATCTCCCTTCTCGCCCACCCCAAACACCGGGTGAGGCCCCGTGGGCGCTGAGGGGAGCTGGCGAGGGTCTGCCGCTCCGCGCCGAGGTGTCGGGGCTGACATCGAAATGAGGTAATGGAAGGATGAGGCAGCGCATGCCAGTCAGGGCTTGATCTTGATTTACAGGATGTTTCAGGGAGAACTCTTTAACGAGCAGGTCTGACGCCTTAAAAAAAATAAAAAAAATTAGAAAGCTCCAGCTCGAGGTTGTTGTAACGTGTTGCCTGCGGCAATGGAAACGCCAGCGTGAGGCACGGGGGCCACCGCTGCCACAGCCTGCGCGGTTTGGCAGGCCGGCACGGAGCCCGCAAACGGCCGGGTTGCGCGGCCTTTTTTTTTTTTTTTTCAGGAAACAAGGGAAAACAGCGCAGAGTTTTGCAGGAAACAAGGAAAAACAAGAGGAGAAGAGAGCAAGCCCGGCCGGTCGCCGGGGGGAGGCACCGCCCGCCGAGGCACCGCCCCGCCGGGCCGGGGCTGCCCGGGCTGGGCCGGGCCGGCCGCCCGCCCTCCCGCCTCCCCCCGCCCGCGCCTGCCCCCTCACAGCTCGGCAGGTCGGGGCGTGAGGCGGCGGCGAGCGCTCCGGTGCGGCGCGGTGGCTGCGGAGGGGTGAGGCGGGGCGCCCCCGAAATGGCGGCCGCCCTGGGTGAGGGGGGTGCGGGGGGGGGGGTGCCGGGGCAGCCCGGCCGGGGAGAGGGGGCGAAGCGCTGCCCGGGGGCTTTCCCGGGGTTGCGGGCGGGGTTGGGCGCTGCCCCGCCGCCTCCTCCCGGCGGGCGCCGAGGGGCCGCTCGGCTCCGCGGCCCCGGCAGCGCCCGCCGCAGCGGCTCGGCCTTCTCCGAGCGAGTTAACCTGTTGCGGGGAGGCTGTTGGAAGCTTCTGCGCCGTCTGCGCGTTAGGAAAGGTGTTCTGGAACGTCGCCAGTCGTGCAGTTATTCCTATCTCCTTCTGGTTTTGTTAAGTCTCCCCGTTGTACGCGCAAGACTCGGCCTTTATGTCGGGCTTGTAGGACCCTTGGAGGCGGAGGAGGGGCAGGGCAAGCCCTTTTTTTTTAACCACAAAACCCTAGCGATGCTCCGTTTAATTTCCTGGGAGCGGGTGGCAATGGGTTGTTGTTGCTCCGCCGTGTTGCTTGCCCTGAGGAACCTTTCGCGGTAGCCTTTGCTCTGTGTCAGCTCGCGAAGAATGTAAACTGCTGTAAATTTCTAAAAAATCCTGCGGGGGCTTTTGTAATTAACCTGTTGCAGTATTCTGTTGAATTTTAGCAGTGACATACCTATTTTAGGCAACTCTATAGTATCACTTAAATTACGCCACTTCCTTTGTCCCCCAGCAGCACTTCTTGGCTTGCTCTGGGAGTGTGTGTGGTGTCTACTAGAACAAGGGTTAATTAAAATGGCATCACCCATCAGAGGTAATGCCCAGCGCTGGCCATTTTGTTGAAACAGTTTTGAAACAAGTCCCTGTTGCCAAAACGCATTTCCTTTCCTGTCTGCAAAGCCATTGCCTAGGTTCTTGGGGAAAATTTTAGTGTGATGGGATATCCACCGTCAGGTATTGTTGAGGCTGAAGAGTCTCTTAGCATGTCACCGGTCAGACAAAGGTCCATCCCAGTCTTCCTGTGTGACTCGCTGCTACTAAAGATAACTACCTGTGGTGGAGAGAGCATCTGTCTTCTTCTGAGCTGTTGCTGAACTCATTAGAAACTAGAAAAGTCCGTGCAAAAGTTTCAGTTTGCTTAGATTCTCTGAAGGAGATTGTGTGCCTAGGACAGGCAGTTCCCGATCTGCAAACTGTTGGAAGCTGGGCAGTGTTTGGGGCAGCATCATTTATGCTTTACCTGAGGCACCTGGTGACAGATCCCTGTCAAAGGCATGATGCTGGCTTGCATAGGTGAGTCTGGGCTCTGGTTTGCTACAGATGCTCTTAGGTGGCAGTACTTTGAGTCAAATGTCCTTGCTGAAAGCTCTGGTTGTGAGTCGGAGGAGTTGGCAGCTTTCGAGCTCCTCCATGTAACCACCCTGAGATCACATCCTTGCTCTGTAGTTTCATGATGATGTCTGAGTTCCTGACCTGGATGTCTTTCTGTCCATATGCCATACTTCTGCTAAAAGCCTGTTTTATTCCAAACTGTCTCATATATTGATTGGCCCGTGGCTTTTTTAAAATAATGGCTTGCTTTCTTGGTGGAGTCCTTCTGCAGTGGAGGAGAATGAATCCCCAGTTGCCTGGTAAAAGTCCTGGCAGTCCCTGCTGTATGTTGAGTCCAGTAAACAATAAGAACGTGCCTTGAGATAATGTCCCGTGTATGACATCTCATTTTACTCTGGAGTCTAAGGTGGTTAGTCCATCCTGCAGTTATGTTTTGTGGGAGCTTAACAGTCAAGTTTTCTTCTGTCTCGAGGCAGGTGTGTTAAAGGAAGGTTTGTTCTTAGTGCAGGGCAGAGCACTAAGAGGAACTTTGACAAGGCTGTGGCTCTCCTCTTGGATTGAATACAAAAGCCATCTTCTGAGTAAGCCGGGAATACCAACCCAAGAAGATTTTCCCCCAGTGCTTTAGCTTCCCAGCCCCCTTGTGCGGAAGGGAGGTCTTATGCCCGTTTGGAAGTGGGCAGGACTCTGAGGCTTCTCTTCAAGTACAGGGCACACACAGCTGAAATCTTGGCTCTGTGAAGGACGTTTTCAGTGCAGCCTCTGAAAGGTTCTGTGGATGGGTGTGAGAGATTCTTCAGCAAGGAGGTGGAAGAAAGCTGCTTGTATTCCCTCGTCAAGCAAAAATACTGGGTGGGAGTGGCACATGGAGTGCTATCTGTCTCTGTTAGGAAGTTTCCAGCAGGCGTATTCTATTATTCCTAGCTAGTAAAAGTTTCAGCACAACTCTAGCTGTTCCTGTTGCACATACCCAAACCAGGCAACAACTCCCTTGCTCTTGAGACAGGCTTGACTGGTGAGCTCTGTCTCCTCTAGCTGGGTCATCCCACAAGGTAAATTCACTCATTGCTTCTACAAAGCTTGGCTTCTGCTCTAAGGAGTGCGTTGGGCTACTTGTTATGTGTAGGAGGTAAATACATATTCATGTGTATTGGTACATGTAACATCTCTATCACCATTATACCTGTATGTGGCAAACTATCACATCTGACGTTTCCAGGGGATTTGGTCACTTACAAAGCAATCCTGCTGTCCCTCTGTTTTTCTTCTGCTTTCTGTTTAAGATAGAAGCTTAGAAAGATAAAAGGTGGATGGACTGGCTCTGAAAGACAAAAAGGGGAGCTTTGCTTTTCCGTGTCCCAGTCTGTTACTACTCTCTCCACTGGCCTCATCGGTCTTGCTTTTGAAACCTCCTGAGAAGATGCTCTCTTACTCCTCGCCTTTGCTCTCTGCTCTTGTGCTCCACCCGGGGTTACCTCCAGCTCTCCCTGAGCATGTGCACTGACAGCTGAGGTCGTAGAAAGCCTGAGGGAGGGTGACTTCTGGAAATTACAGCTTGTCTCAGCTTCCCTGGCTGTGAGGAACAGAAAGCTTAGTCTCCCTTGTTGTTTAAAAACCTTCAAGATCCCGAAGGTGAAGACCAGGTCTCCTAACATCTCACTTGCTCATCCTGCCTTTCAGACCCTGAACGTGATTTTCCTTCTGCCACAGCAAAGCCAAAATGAAATGAACAGTGTCAGTGTTGATAAAATCGTCCCATTTTCCCATTCTTTTTTGCATGTGCATTCTGGCAGAGCTTCCCTGGGCTTTCCCCCGGGATGGTGACCATCGTCCCAATCTGAGAAGTGTGCTTTTCCCTGCCACGCCATGCCTGAAGCCAGGATGTGGACGGAGCAGTGAGGAATGGCAGGGCTGCAGGATGGAGAGGAGATGTTTTGTCAGTTCTGCGGAGAGCACCTCATACCATCCCTCCCCGTGGCACAAAACCTGTTTGCTCCAGGCCCTCTTGGCCAGGATCAGCACTGTAATAGCAGCACTGCTGATGGGCATCTCTCTCGCCAGTGCTCTGCTCTGTCCTGCCTGCCAGACTTCTGCTTGTGATCTCAACAGCCTGGCATCCCTGGGAGTGAACTGTCAGTCCTATTAGTCCTGTGTCCTGGCTGCTGTGTAATAATAAAACTCTCGGCAGGCTGAGCAGGAAGATAATTACTATTTTGCACACCTGGCATTGCACGGCAGAATGAGGGGTGTGTTCTGGAGTCTGGGCTGCCTTTGGGTATGACCAGCTTGGTCCATGTTGCTAACCCAAGTTCCTCGTGCTGGTCGGGTGGTCATGGCTCTCCAGCCCGAGCTGGGAAAGGGCTGCACGGCTCGGTGGGTGCGATTCTGTCAGTAGTGCAATAGGCTCAACACAGGCCTGAAAGTGTAGCTGGCTCCTTAGAAAGATGCAAGCATGAGTAGCTGCCATGACCTGCCAGCTGGGGTCATCATGGAGTTCTTGAGTTAAATGTGTATATATATATATATGTATATATTTGTATGTGTGTGTGTTTCATGCAGTTTTGATGCCAGCAGTGCTGGACACTATTGAAGGCAGGGTACTGGTTTAATGGGATAAGGAGGGACATGAGGAATTATGTTCTGTGGAGGTCAAGGGAGGGTCCTTGGCAGCTGTTTAAATTCATTTAGGTGTTGACCCACAGCCGTTGTCAGCAGGGTACAGCCAACCAAACGCAATTTTAATTGTGCAGCAGGTTGCACAGTGTGTGTTGCCTGCCTCCGCGTAGGCTGCCGCAGAGTCGCTTTTTCTACCTGCTGAGCAAATGTGGAAGAGGTGAGTGCATCTGAGTGAGGGATCATGGAGGATGTGGGATGTGGCACAGCTGCTTAAGAGAGGTGGAAATGAGATGTGTGAGAGGTGCGAGAGAAGATGTTGCTCAGACCCATCGGTTGTTCCTGGCAGTGGTAATGAGGCTTCTTAAGGAAAAAATGAGCCAGGAGTAGGTGACAAAATGTTTGGCATTGACGGTTGTTTCTTATCTATTGCTGGTACTAGATCTGAATGCAAAAGGAGCAAAGTTCACTTTTCCAACCCAGGTTCTCTTTCCATTTATAGGAAAGAAAACAGAGCAGCAGAGAGCTGGTTTTAAACAGAGCAGTGGGGAGCTGGGGCAGTGGAAAGAGTTGTGAAGCTCTAAGTGCCTGTGCTCTGGTGGAGTTCATCCCTGTAGCTGCAAAGTGGAAGGTGCACGCTTCTAAGAAACTGTGGAGTTGGGCTGAAATCTGCATCATATTTCTCAGGTGTCTTTGCCACTGTAGGAGAGGGACAGGTTGAGAGGAGCAAACACTTTCTGGAGGTGCTGTGGGAGAAAGATCTGGCTGTGCTGTAGAAATGGTTAAGGTGAAAGCATGCCTGATAACTTGCTCTGAAATGCTTCTGCCCCTATGGGGGAGAAGTGGACAGGAGAAAGACCAAGCAGATAATTACTGTTTTGCACTCCTGGTGTTGCACGGCAGAATAAGAGGTGTTTTTTTTCCCTGCCAGAGCAACAGCTACAATGCCTACGGGGTTGTGTTTTCAGGGAGTGCTCTGATCCTCAGTGACCACCGCACTGCAACAATAAAGAAAATAAGGGAGAAGGATGATTTTGGTCAAATTTATACATTCACAGAGCCAGCTGGTGGATGCCAGCCATGCTGGTATTTCTGGCATGCCAG